CGGGCCTCCGCGACCGAGCGAACCCGCAATATTGCGTCTACCGTCGATCGCCCGGCCCGGAAGCCGTATTGTTTGTCATCCAACTGCGGACCACTCCGAGACAGGTGGTGGACGAGGCGGTCTGCGATGAGCCTTTCTAGGATTTTCCCGCCTCGTCCAGCAGACAAATCGGTCTATACGCCGAGGGCAACTCCCTTGGTTTGCCTCCTTCGGAAGAAGGACTACATTTGCCTTCTTCCACACCCGGGAAAGGAGCCCGTTTTGAGGCACTCGTTATACAAGTGCCTCATGGGCTCCGCTAGATCCTTGAAGGCAGGGCCCATGCCTTCCCGTAACGCCGTCAGGTCCGGGGGCTTTCCCTTTTAATTTTCCTGACGGCGTCCCTTAACTCTCCTCATCGTGACCCCCATCTCTTCCTCGTTCCACTCCTGCTCCGCTTCTGAATTTGATGACTATCAATTCGCAGAACAGGGTGTCGATTACTTCTTTTACGAGATGGGGATCCATGGTTTCCGTTTGAGGGGCCGTCCCTCCCTTGATTTATTTAAAACCATTTTATAGGACGACCCCACGGATCCCTGTCCAGAGAGGAGAGAGTTCCTCCCCTGCCCTTGCCTTCGCCTGCCTTATGGAGGCGCGTAGGATGCAGCGTGTTTCTCTGTACGCATCCCATGCGTCCTCCAGGCTTTCCGGATCTAGCAGCGCGTGCCTTTTCCTCCTGTGGATTTTCCTTCTTGCTTGGTCGCAGGATCGCCTCAGTTCTGCAATATCCTGCGACCACCAATATGCCTGTTTTTTTAGCCTATTCTTCACTCGGGGCATGGCTACGTCACATGCCTGTGTTATAACATTTTGTAGCCATGCCCTTTGTTCCTCTGGACCTTCCCTTTGGGAAACTGTCCACTATTAAGGCCGCGTTTAGCGGCCAGGAATGCCATCCTCATCCATTTTTCTGAGGGCCCATCTCTGGAGCCTCTCTTAGTAGGTGGGCGCTGTCAGACCCCTCCTTGTGAGTGTAGACGGAGAATGTGTGATGTATCTGTGGGCAGAATCTGTTTCCTTCTCCGTCTCCATCCTCCAACCGTGTATGGTCTTCTGGCAGTGCGGGTCGCCCACGTTAAGTCGACTATTGACCCGCCCTGCCTTCCTCCAACACGTCTCTGTCCTCCCTGTGTTAAGGAAGTCGAGTCTGCTTCGCGCCGCCCACTCGTAAACCTCGCCGCCCCGCCAATCGGTGCGCGGCGAACCCCACGCCACATTTTTGGCGTTGAAGTCCCCCGCCACCACCAAGGGGCCGGCAGAGTGTTTAATTATCTGCCGCTCCAGGTTCATCAGCCTCTCGCCGAACTTTTTTCTTTTCCATGTTCGGCGAGATTATACCGATATAACGGTGATGGGCCCCCAGGATACCACCGCAAATCCCTCTCCTTTATCTTTGGGGTTTAACGGTGGCGAATCGGATGCATTCCTCCTGACGATTGCAGCCGTGCGTCTTCACTCACAACCCAGTTGTTGTTGTTTCTTCTTGGTGGGTTGTACGGCTCGACTACAATCGCTATCCGTAGGATTCCTCGCACATGGTCTGTGCAAGGAATCCTGCGCATTCCTCGCATGGTTCACGTTGGCCTGCACAATTTTAGTGGAGGCCATCGTGAACCATTATTTCTTCCTCCTGCTCTGATGCTATTTCCATAGCATTGGTGTCCGCCTTTGCTTTTTTGGTTCTTAGAACCCTCTGCTCCTTGGGGGCTCACTTGGGCCTCCTGCGTTTCCCTCCTCTCTTGGCTTATTTAGCCTATTGAAGGGAATTCCCCTCTTGCCTTTGTGCACCGGCGCACATGCCTTACCTCCCGTCCGGTGGTTGGCCGAGAGGTTTTTGCTACTGCATACAGCGCAGTGCGCCGGTGCATCGCAATTCTTGGCCATGTGCCCCGTCTGACCGCAGCGGTAACATGTATCGCTGCGGTCCGTTTTATTGGGGCATCGGGCCCTTACGTGCCCCCCCTCCAAGCATTTATAACATTGGAGGGGGCGTGCCTCCAGCAAATCTACCCGGGTTCGTGCCCAGCCTATTTTTATCTGGCCTTTTTTGGCCAAGGCATTAGCCGCTGAGATTGGGCAACGAACCCAGACTATCCCCATGCCATTGGGGTCTTTTTCATTTCTCCCACACTTCCTCCTCTTCGCAGCCTCCTTCATTGGAGACTGCATTCCTCACGTCGGAGGGAGTCACCGAGTCGTCCAGTCCTCTAATTCGGATCTCCGCTGACTTAGTGGGGCGTTGCACCCTGACTCCCTCCTTGTCTGCCAGGGCTGCCTTTAGTCTCCTTGCCAGACTATCGGCTAGCTCCTGGCTTCTTGCCCCCGGCACCTCGTACATGAGGGCCCCCGTGATGGCCCTCTTGATCTTGACTCCATTTTTAATGCCAAGATCTTCGAGGTTTATCTTTTGGCGTGCCTCCCGCATGATACGTTCATATTGTCCGGGAGGACACGTCACCGTCATTGTCGATGGAGGTACACCTGCCCTCCGGTCATAGAGGGCACCCTCAGGGACTCTGCAGGGGGGGGGGGGTCATGTGCCCCCCCTGTGGGGTACGGGTCTCGCGCACCCGAGGGTCCCGAGCTGGTATGAGTCTGTATGTCGGGAGCGCTGGATCAATGATCCCACAGGCCATGTCGGCGGGACTTCGGTCCCTGGCAGGTCTCCCATGCCGAACGGGCTGTGGGTGAGATCTGGTTGGCTCCCGGCATTGGGTGAATGTGTGTGTGGATGGATGGCCTGGTAGGGTCAAAAGGGCTTCGGCCCGCCACCCTTGGAAGGCCACCAAGTCAAAAAACCAAATAAAAACGGAATGGGAAAGCGATCCAAAAAGATGAACGCTACCGGCCCAGGCGGTTCGAATACGTCAGGGCCCGGCGGGGAGGGGGTATAGCCCCGGCCCCCACCCCGTCGTCATCAGACGGGGCGTGAGACAGAGGAAGGAGCGAGATCTGGGGCTCCAATGAAGGTGGAGCCTCAGACCTCGGACATGGGGAGGCCGGCGGCAATGCTGCCGGGCCTCGATTGGGAGAAGGACCTCGCTCCGTGGTGGGACGAGCCTACGGCCGAGACCCCCACTGCGGAGCTGTTCCATAAAACTATGAGGGACCTGATGAGGATGAGGGAAGGGACCGATGCCGTGGTGGAGGCCATCGGTGATTATGTGGAGGAAGGGAAGCCGGACTTGGTGTTGGCACAGCTGGAGATATACGCCAAGTTCGTGAAGGGCCGGACGCAGGAACTCGAGAGGGTCATCTCTGACCTCACTCGACGTGAATGCGTCCGGTTCGGCGAGAACATCCGCAAGAGTGTGGACGTTGGCCCTGACCCCGGAAAAGAGTTCCGGAATCAGGGGACTGGGACGGATGAAAACCTGGGGGTGCCTATCGTGGCGGCCCCTTTGCCGGGGGGGTTGGAGGCCAGGCTCGAGGACATATCCTCGAGGCTGGCGGCCAACTCGGACCGGCTGGAGCTGGTCGAGAGGCACCTCAGGGAGGGAGAGCTCGGTCGGGCGGGGGCGGCTCGGAAGGCTCGGGGATTGCCAGAGGGGGGTCTCAGACAGTGACGGACGCGACGGACACTGAGACGGAGACGGGACCAACGGAGGGGGAACCACCGGGGAGTGGGTGAGGGTGGTCAAGAGGGGACAGAAGAGGGGTGGGGGAAGTCGCGGGGAGGCGCGACGGTGACAGCCGCTGGTAGAAGCGGCGGGGGACGGGGGAGAGTTGGCGGCGGGGCGACCGTCGCCAATGTTATAAGGGCGCCGAGGTGCTACCGGTGCCTGTGTGTTGGTCACACATAGCGCCGGTGCACCTCGGCGGCGGACAGAGGTAGCCGTTGCTATCGCTGCGGCTCCCCTGGCCACAAGGAGGTGGGATGCCTGTCCGGCCTGAGGTGTCCACTTTGCGTGGACTTCCGACGGCCGGCCAGGCATCGACTCGGGGGTCCGGGGTGCTTAACGGCACCTCCGGCGGGGTCGAAGGGAGGGGGCGTGCCTTCTCGCTCCCCTCCGTCGCTGGCGGTCGTGCCCACGGGTGCGGCCGTCTGTGGCGGTGGGGGTCGGGTGGCCCGCCACATACCGGTGTCGACAATTGACGCCGGATGAGGGTGTAAGAGGGGAGGGGAGCGCCTAGGCGCTCCCATGTCCCCCCCGACACCCTTCGGGAAGGAGGGGCCCCACCGGTTGCGGGTGAACTCTGACCCCTAACGGGGCGGAGGGAGGTCGGAACCGGGTGGCCAGAAATGAGGGGGGGCCACGTGTCCCCGGCGGGTGGGCATTGCCCTCCCGTCCGGGGCGCATGGGTCCCTCTCAAGGACGGAGACGTGACGTGTGGGGCCTTTTCATCGGGAGCCACAAGGCACCGGTGGGAGGGCAACACCGTCCACGGAAGGGGGTTTTTCTCCTTCTGAGAGGAACCTCCTGATGAGAGCTCCCTCAGTAAACCGCCGAACCGGACCACCCTCTTGTGGTCCGGGGGTTGCGACACTGGGGGGGGGGGGCGAGGGGCGATGGCTCGAGCGGGAGTTCTCGAGCCATGGCTCCGCCCCTTAAACTCTTTGGGAGGGCTCGGCATGAGGTCGATGTCGCTTCGTGCCGCAACCGCGTCGATACCGCACAGTCATTGACTGTGCGGTCGGGGAGGTGTCTTGGCCGCAAGGTTGAAGCGGCTCCCCGGAGAGTAATTGGCGGGGGGGGGTGGTTTCCGAGACGGCATGGGTATCCCAGCATCTTCGGCACCCTCCATCCAACGCCCCGAGCAGGACATCCTCTGGGGTTTTAGTGCGGTAGGTCCTGTCCCGGCTCTCCGGCTCGCCGATCCCGACTCTCCGGCCGCTACGGCGGACCGGCCAGGTGGATGCGCGGGCCGGCCAGGCGGGGCAGGGAGTCCCACATAACCCTCGCCTCTACCCGGAGGCGGATGGTACCATGAGGTTTCCCCTGAGTAACCAAAAAAAAAAGGTAGGGAATCGCGTAATTTGATGTCAAAATGACCTCATTTGACGTTAGAATAAGATCATTTGACATCAAAATAATATATGTTGCTATTTGGGCTATAGATTATAAATAGAATATGCTAAAAGTTATCGTATTTTTTGTTTCTGAATACGCGTTACTTTTTCTATATTATAAATATTAATTTTGATTTTTATACAATTACTGTTTTCATATATATCCATACATATAATTTTTTTTTTTAATTGGTAACGCAAAATTTTTTGTTTTATATATAGGTACTTCAAATTAAAGTTTATAAAAAATGCTAAATCTAATACTAATATTCTAATACACATAAAATTTTTGTAGCTATTTGATTTATTTATAAAATATTAGTTAAGGCTTAATTAAACTATATTATAAAATATGACGTCGGGGTCCAAATGGCTGGTAAGGCCGCGGTGGTGCGTATCCAGCTGGAAGATATGTACCTAAAAAAAAGCCGTGAAATGCCGTTCTACACATATTAAGAAACCAGCAAGCCCAACCATCTAGCGTCCTAGCCGCGGACCCGGGCAATGTGACTTGATCATAGCAAATAGATGACGGGCGAAAGGCGAAATTCTGGCGTCTAAAAACGAGAACAACCCAGCTAAGGAAAGAAAAATCTCTACAGAAAACCAACACACAAACAAAATGCAATGAGTAAAACAAATGAAAATTTCACCCCAGGTGGCAGACTTGTACTGGAAAATCCACCCTCTACGGAGGCTGGCCCCACGGATTCTGGGGGGGGGCCAACTATTGCTGTTCCAAAACCCTCTAAAACACAGTGAAAATGGCCATAGTGCCTCTGATAATACGATAGCTGATTTTAAGCCACAAACACAAAATGAAATGTTATTGTGAAAAGCATGGAGACGAGCGGAAGATAAAATTAACTATCTGGAAACAACAATCAGAAAACTACAAAATAAAGAAAGCAAAGAGAAAAAAATCGTTTACGAGACGGATGAAGAGCAACTAGAGTGGGAAATAGTTAAGGGCGCGAAATACAAGAAAAGAAAAGCCATCTCATCGCCTGAGATATCCCCACAACAAGAAACGAGAGAAGCTAAGGCTGAAAAAAGGAGTATCCCCCCGCCGATATTCATAAACAAAGTCAAAAACTTTAACATGATTAAAGATCTAATTATGCAAAAGATTAAACACGATGTAAATTTTAAAACGCTAGCCAGTAGCAAAATAAAAGTAAATACTATAGATGAGAAAGACTATCGGGCGATTATCAAGCTACTAAAAGTAATTAAAACGCAGGAAAATCATCCCCTGAAAGAAGTAACTTACTATACATTCCAGTGCAAACAATCTAAACCTTATAAAATAGTAATAAGAGGGTTACATCCAACAACTAACGAAGAAGAGATTAAGAATGAGCTAGCGAAATTGGGACATGAGGCCGTTCGAGTAACAAACGTAATCATCAAAAAGAAAATTAATGAGATACCGACTAAAATAGCGCTACCACTGTTTTATATTGATTTAGTTGTCAAGCCTAATAACAAAGATATCTATGAACTGAAACATATGTTATACTGCAAAATCAAAATTGAGCCACCGAGAGTTAAAAAAGAGATTCCGCAATGTAAGAGATGCCAAGGATTTGGGCATACCCAAAATTACTGCCAAAAGAAACCTAAATGTGTCAAATGTGGAGCTAATCACTACTCTGCTGAATGCAAAAAGCCAAAAAATACAAAATGTAAATGTGCTAACTGCGGATCAGAACATACGGCCAACTGGAAAGGATGCCCAGTCTACAGAGGAAAGATAGCGTCTCAGCAAAAACCTAAAATGACCGTTACGCAACGTATATATCAAAACGACCACATGTTCGCTAAAAAAGCCAAACCTTCTGAATCTTATGCTGAAGTAGCAAGCGCGAAATGTACGCATCCAACAAATGGGAGTATGGAAACACAAGCTAGACCAAATGAACCAACGATCCAGGACGTGTGGGACCTACTCCAGAAAATCCAGTATATGTGTAATAGCACTGAACACAGATTGGAAGTGCTGGAAGAGAGAAACCAGCAAAATCCAAAACATGACCAATGTTATAAAAATAATGACAGACACATCGTTTAGAATTATAACTTGGAATGCGAATGGCTTTGCACTGCGTAGTAGGGAGCTAGAAACATTACTAAAGGTGCGTTTTCGTTGCTGCTACCAGGCTACAAGCGGTTGGTTCGTGTTTGAAGACATGACGTCACTAATAGTAACCAAGAATAAAAACGTCTCGAGCAGGCAGTGCGCAAACGTGTTAGCGTGGTTGCTATACACGATGAATCCTGAGAGGTTATCTATGATGTTAAGTATGATGGAAATGATGATTGATGATGAATTATCACATATTGTTAATATGTGTCAGTTACAATCCACAAGCAGGATTGCCCTTTCCTTTCTGAAGGATAGAATAAATCATTTCAAAATAGGAATAATTGCTAACGAAGAGTGGGTGACCCATTACATTGATCAAGATTTTCATAAACAGTTTAGATATAATAAGCACAAAGCTTCGTTACTGCCACATTTCTTATTCATCATGCTGTCGATGTTATTTTTGACATTCATTGACTTGTTAGATTAAGTGAATTCTATCTAAATTTGTCTTTTTTGACAGGATGATGAAGAGCACATATTGGGCTCTTATAGACACAGTTCGACCTTACTACCCTGTCAAGTGCCAGAGAGGTGATGCACCTTTGGTAACAGTTGAGAAAGCTGTCCTGATGACATTGTGTTATCTGGGGAAGCACGTGCCTTTGTCTGATATAGGTGATCGATTCGCTGTGGCTCAAAGCACAGTTTTTAAGGAGGCCAAAACTATCATTTATATACTGTGTGATCTTAGAGATACATTTATTGTTTGGCCCAAAAAAGTGAGTGTGTGATACTGAGCAGGCAATTTGAGGATCGTGCAGGATTTCCTGGTGAGCACTCTGTATGGCTTGGCTATTTTACTTTGAAATGTTTTTCTAAAGACAATGCTCTTCATGCAGAAGCTTTGTCATGTCTTATTGTCTCTTGCCATTTTTTCAGGTGTCATAGGAGCTATCGATGGTTGCCACATTGAAGTTGTACCTCCAGCAAACCAGCATTCTAGTTACATAGATCGTACATGCAACTACTTTATCACACTTCAAGGTGGGATTTTATGAAAACAGTGTATTTTTGCCATTAATATCATAATCTCTCTTATAGTAATATCAGCATTTCATTTTATAGGAATTTGTACTGCAACAAAAATATTTACAAATGTATCGATTGGAACACCTGGTAATGATGCCCACGTTATGAAGTACTCTAGCGTTTACCGGACGATAATGCGAGATGGAATGGAATCCATGTTTTTTAATAGCAATTATCATTTGATAGGCGATAAGGCCTACCCTAACAGGATGTGGTGCATGGCACCTTTCAAGTAAGTTGAACGTTTTTGCATTCAAATATGTGTTGTTATATTTTACCATGTGAATAGCATTCTAATGCTCTTTCCTTGAATAGGGATTTTGGGAATCTTACTCCAAGACAAAGAACATACAACTATCATCATAGTTCAACCCGCATTGTAATAGAGCACACATTTGGTCTTATGAAGGGCAGATGGAAGCGTTTGATGAAAGTCAATACAGAAATTGCCAAAGTCAGTGACATTGTACTAGCCATCTGTGTTTTGCACAATTTTTGTTATCTACACAATGATGAAGTGATTAAGAAAATGATTCAAGATAAAAGACGCATGCCTAACCAACATGTTTCCAACAATTATATAGACGAAGTCAGCAAAATACAAGGCGCAGAGAAACGCAATAGAATTGTACATTTGTTCTGAAAACTTTATTTGTAAGTCTTACTGTGATAAATGAAAAATATTATAGGAATATCTGGAATAAACTATTATATTGTCTAACTATTATATTGTCTTTATTTCTCATTTCCATCTCAGAGTACATATTTGCAAAATTAAATGTTTGGCAAAACTACATTAAATAATAGATATAGAAAGTATGTAAAAAAAAGAATAACATTGTCTTATATTCTTATATTCCCTATTGTCTTATACATATTTTATAACAAAGAATATACTCAAAATAAAATTTTACTCAGATGGAAATACTGAGTGCAAAACACAACACAATAAAAACATTTTAAATAAGCACACTTATTGAAGAATAAAATAAATATTAACTTAGAACAAAACTAATAGATATACATTGGCACCAAAAGATACATATTACACACAAATCTGGGCTTTTTGCAGTTCCTTACATACTACGAAATGACTAAGACACTTTGGCAATGACAGGTAAGTACATAAAACTAGAATCTTTCTGTAATACTTCTTAACTTACAGTAAGTAGTATAAATATAATTCTAACTTAAGTAAAATAAAACTATAATAATCTAACTTAAAATAAAATAATGTAACACTTTAGTATAAGTACATGAAATTTTAGGTAGTTTAAATAAAATGTTAATATAAGTACTAAGTAATCCTCTGTATTGATATAAATCATATAGAGAGAGACATCCGAAGTAATAAAAGTATATTTGAAATGTGTTTGAAATTCATTTTCAAAGACTTTAAAAGTTGTTTCAAACATGTTTCAAATATTTTTTTGCTCCTTGGGATATTCTCATAAAAAGATAATAAAGAGATAACTATTATTTATCACATATGGAACATATCACATTTAATGCTTGTGTTAATCAATGTTAGCTACCTATTTGTAAATTACAATTTCTTTTAATTAGTAGTTTTGTTTGAGCTTGTGTTGTGGCTCAACATATTGGTAATGATATTGAGAAAAGCTTTCTTAGTATCATTTGAATCTTGCATTAGTTTCATTAAACTTTCATTTTGCTTACAGCGTTCCTCAGCCTCATTTTTCAGAAAATCCAGGATGCAGGTGTTATCAATCCTAGGTTTCTTTAGCTTCGTGGATGACTTTACATGAATGAATGGGTTTCCATCGTTTTCATTTGATGATGCATTTTCAGACTCAGTATTACAAATCCTTATGTTCATTTGTTTTGAAGAATTTGGAGCATTCGGAATCGTCGCTGGTTGCTCTTTAGAGGTAATGAGTAGGTGATACCTCTCTAGACAATGAATCAAGCAAACGTACTGGTTTTGCTTTGTGTTTCCCTTTAATAATGTCAAATACCTCATCATAAAATGCTGGTTTCTTTCCTTTTCCGTTACCAGAACTGCCAGCACCATTCTGTAAAAAATGCATCACAGCACTTTCAAGGTTGCGCCACTTCTGCGAGCAAACAGATCCTTCATCTCTTGTTCCAAAATTATACTTTTCTTTTAGTTTTACACCAATTTTTTCCCAAATCTTCTTCTTCACAGTTTTCTTATCATTTAATATCATCTGAATGTCCTTACGTCCCACAATTTCAATTAAGTCATGTGTGGCTGCAATATCCAGTGGTGATGGTTTATTATTTTTGACCCAAATCTCTTTGTTGCTTTTGTCAAAGATTTCACTCGACAAAGGTGAGATATTACGTATTTTAAAGCTTTCTTCACTAGAGCTCTCTGCAGTATTGGAATCCTCTATTATTGTAAAAGGTTCACAGGAATTAGCAGACTTAAATCGTTGGATTACGGAATCATCTAGGGGAAAAGAAATATATGATCCACCTGAAAAAAGAAAAGTAGAAGTAAAACACAAAGATGCATTAAATATATAGAGAAATTCAAGTAGTTAGTATATAGCTCATTCCGAAAAACAAACAGGTAAAAATTAAAATATCAACTAAAATAAAATTGGACTTATTATATAGCAGGATTAGCGCTCAGCAAATATTTTATTTCAAAACATTTATTAAAATATGACACAAAGACGTAGGTAAGCTTCATGAAAGATAAATTTAATTGACTAACATAACCCCTACAGAACTCACAATGCAAGTATACTTACTTGAAACATAATGGAAAAACATTTTGCCATCAATAGAATGCACGTCACCATCAGCGCGCACGAGGAGGAAATACTCGTTTAAGGTGAGCACCGTATTGTCCATTTTCGTTTTTACACCATGGATTTACCTCACGGTTGTATACACCATGTATACGATCGAGTCAACACTCTACAATTGATTTCGCGCCAAACAACCTACTACAACCGCGCTATCATCCTCAGGACCATGGCAGCGCGGTAGCAGCTACCGCAACCAACCAGGTTGCATCGATGACGTCACAACCAGAAACGAAAACGGTCGTGTTTGTTTCTGATCGCTTGTGGTAGGAAAACGAAAACGCACCTTAAATTATAAAAATATAGATATAGCATTAATATCTGAAATCCACTTTACTAATAAAAATTACTTGAAGATTTACGGATACACGGTGTATCACACGACGCACCCTAGTGGTAAAGCTCATGCTGGTACAGCTATCGTTGTTAAAAACAATGTGAAGTTTTGTCCGCATGAGGAAATCAGAAGGGATAATCTGCAAGCTACTGTTATTACGGTCCAACACAATAACTCAGACTTCAAAATAGCAGCAATATATTGCCCACCTCGACATAATATCAAGAAAAAGCAGTTTGAAGAAGAAATAGGAAAGCTTGGATCGCGATTTATAGCCGAAGGGGACTTTAATGCTAAACACACGGCATGGGGCTCCCGCTTAATCACTCCCAAAGGTAGGGAATTGCACAAAGCAACTAAAACCTGTAAATGGGATGTCAGATCGTCACGGAAACCAACATATTGGCCGACGGATAGAAACAGAGTACCTGACCTGTTAGATTTCTACATCACTAAAGGTATATCAACAAACTATTTCGAAGTTGAGAATATAGATGACCTCTCCTCAGACCATGTGCCGGTTTTACTTACGCTGAGTTCTACTGTTATTCGAAAGGAAAAAGAACTACACTTACCAACAAACATACGGACTGGGACAAATTTAGGGAGGAGCTTGATCTAACAATAAACCTGAAAGTTAGGCTTAAATCTGTGGAAGAGCTAGATGAACAAGCGCAAAACATGGTTGACTATATCTGTAGTGCTGCGAGAAGCTCAACACCAGCACAAAGTAACATTATAACGCAGGAAATATGCTACCCAGAGGAGATTAGAGACATGATTAAAAACAGAAGAAGAGCAAGACGTACCTGGCAAAAATCTAAACATCCAGAGCACAAAAATACCTTTAATCGTATCAATAATCAACTAAACAGACTAATCAAGGAAAACAAAAGAAAAGCTTCAAAAGCTATCTAGGTAACCTCTCTGCAGAAATAGACAAAAACTATTCTCTGTGGAAGGCAACTCGAAGACTTAAACGTCCAACTATCAAGATACCACCATTCAAAGATGAGGGGGGGAAGTGGATACACCGGGATGAAGAAAAAGCCGAACTGTTCGCTCGGCACCTGCATAAGGTTTTTCAAACCAACGACACTCAGTCCAGTATTGACACGACAAGGATATTCCACGAAGATGTAAAAATCAAACTGTTTACACCTTTCGAAATTGCACAAGAAATTGATAAAAATATGAACCCCAAAAAAGCGCCAGGCATAGATCAAATATCACCCAGTTTGATCAAAGAACTATCAAGAAAGGCAATAGTACTGATCATATATATTTTCAACGCTTGTCTTAGATTAGAACATATACCAGAGTGCTTCAAAATAGCTCAAATAATAATGATTAACAAACCCGACAAACCGGCTGAAGAAGTAAAATCATACAGATTAATATCCCTACTTCCGGTGATATCAAAATTATTTGAAAAGTTACTGTACAAACGACTCAAACCATTACTACAGATTCCGGATCATCAATTTGGTTTTCGTAATCAACACTCAACCATTGACCAAATACATACAGTGACTTCTATAATAGAAAAGGCATTTGAAGAAAAGAAATACTGCTCCGCTGTATTTCTGGATGTCGCACAAGCATTCGACAAAGTGTGGCAGGAAGGGCTCATTCTAAAAGTTAGTAAATTATTGCCAGGAAATTTTTGCAGACTACTGGAATCATACCTCTCAAATCGAAAATTTAGAGTGATGTACGAAAAAGCTAAATCGGCCTTTTTACCAATACAAGCGGGAGTCCCACAGGGAAGCGTCCTGGGGCCGATCTTGTACCTGATCTATACGGCAGATATACTAACTGATAGCAAAACGACAATAGCCACGTTTGCTGATGACACAGCAATAATGGCAGTGAACAACTCACAAAGAAAAGCAACGAATAACCTCCAAAGAGCTTTAGATAAAGTGTCACAGTGGACGAAAGACTGGAAAATTAAACTCAATGAACATAAATCAACACATGTAACATTTGCATTACGTCGCATTGATGCAGAACTCCGTGTACATATAGACAATCAACTATTACGACAAGACAACTCTGCAAGGTATTTAGGCATGCATCTGGATACAAGATTAACGTGGAAATATCATTTATGTAAAAAAGCGGAACAAATCCGCATGAAAATTAGACAAATGCACTGGTTAATCGGGCGCAGATCCCAACTGGACCTCTATCATAAGAGAATGATATATCTAATGATCATCAAGCCTATATGGACATACGGTATCCAATTGTGGGGATGTACAAGTCTCGAACCGACTAATAATTCAGCGTGCTCAAAATAAGATCATTCGCATGATTTGCGATGCCAGATGGTATCAAAGTAATGAAGACATACACGCGGACCTAAATATCCAAACAATCGAGCAAGAAATAAGAGAGTTCGCAAAGTCACACGAAGAGAGGCTACGCCAACATGTCAATGCTGAAGCCATAAGCTTACTAGATACAGACCAAGATGTGAGACGACTAAAGAGAAACAAACCCCAGGACCTAACATCTTAATAACTTAATGTTATTCAGTGATACGAATTTAATGCTTTAGATACTGACCTAAACTAAAACACATGTTCAAAAATCATATATCAATAGTATTACTTATTCGAACCACGGTTTGAGATTGTAATAACCATACATTAAATTAAAAAAAAAAAAAAAAAAAAAAAAAAGACGTCAGAGGCAAGAAATTATATGAAGCTGTTCTTGCAAATTATATCAAAATAAATAAGATTATTCGAGCAATAATATGAATTAATGAAATCCGTCGAATACTTTTTTACTTCGTAAATCTGCAAGTACCTGTAAATAATCTTGCTCAATCATGTCCACGTTTACTGAAAATGTAGGACATATGCAAATGAGTTATACGCATATTTATTAACAAATAGGGAGTTTGACGGATTTTACTAATTCATATTATCAAACACAGTAATTACATTCAAAAACTTATTTATTCGATATATATTATATAAAAAGAAACCTCATGTTATTTCTTGCTTCTGACATCATAATTCAATATAGCTGTAATGAGGGATCAGTAGATGAAACGTACGCAGTAGAAAAAATTGAAACAATTTTGTCTTAAACACAAAATTGTTTCAATTTTTTTACAGGATATTTTATGTATTAATTATTAATAGTATTAATATTATACAAACATTTTGATCTGTTTATTTTTCAAATAGATAAAGTACTTTTTAAAACAAGCTTCTTAATAAATTGTAATTTAACGTACTTATTTTTTTAAGTTTCTTATTTATGGAATACTGTGATCAAAGAAATAATGTTTAATTTCTTGTTTAAAATATTTCAAAGTTTAATTTTAATACATTATAATATACTTTAATATTATATAATATGTTATATAGATGTAATATATATTAAAAATATATAAATATATATATATATATATATATATATATTCGTAAATACGTATATTGTTTTTATTGCAAGTACCTACATCTGTAAATACAATACAAGATATTTTAGTAATTAAATTTATGTACAGTGTATATTCGTGTATGGCATATTCTATGTATGTATAGTGATCTACAAACGATGTACATTGGATGTCTTTAATATGTACATATATAATGCACGTATACCATATATATCCATACAATGTGCCTCATTTGTAAATCACTGTATATACATAGAATATCATTTATATACATAGAATATCATCTATAGATGTATATAGATGCAATTTATGTACATTGGATATGAAAAAAATATTTAGTGTATATGTAAATTATCTGTCATATACTTTCCACGAATGTACATGGAATGTACCTATCTATACGCATATATATTGTATGGATATACAATGTATAAACAGAACATTAAATTTATATACAAATAGGATATCCAATGTACATTGTTTATACATCACTGTATATACATAGAATAAGTCATATTCACAGACATATATGGAATACACATACATGAGATGTCTAATAAATATTTATTGTATATGAAGGAAAGTATCTGCTATATATATGTACTTCTCTGTATGTACATATACATAGAATATGAAGCAAATATACACATGTATATTACATGGACATACAGTGTACATACAGCGCGTTGCATTTGTACATACCTATGACATCCAGAGTATGTCATTTGTGTATCATTGTATGTCTATAGAATATGTGATATCCACTGATGTATATGCAATGTATATTTATTGAATATCAAAATGTTTTCTGGGATGTATCGTTAAAAGTTATTACAATTATACAAACATTTACATATATGATTAAATAAAATATATATGTATACTATAATATAATTATATATTTTATATATGTACATATATACCATATATATTTCAATTATTTTGAACTGTATTGCATAATTGTTATTTATACAAAGTTATGTGATAAGAATCGAAAATACATATTTTTGTGATACTTGAATTACTAGAAAGCTGCTCTATATATCTGTACTTTAAAAAGTAACTGATATCCTAAAAAAATCATAAAAATGAAAAGGTCAGGCCATGTTCAAAAGAAAGTACTCAAAATTTAAACCTTTCAAAATTTAAACGATCTAATAATAAATTATCACGAAAAGTAACTGATATGTTATTCAAGGTGCCAGTTCAAAGTGAACATACGTAAAGTGTATATTATCTAAATTTAGTAATAATATATTACCATAAAAAGTAACTGTGATATTTTATT